TTTTACATTAATCATGGTAATGGGAATGATCGGAAAATCATAATTGCGATGATGAATTTTTTTATTCTCTCAATAAGAAAAATGGTTTTTTGTCGGGACGAGAATGGAAAAAAATAATCTTGTCATTTAGTTATTTCCAAAGTCGTTGCGGTTGAGCGATTCACTGCTTATTTTCAAGGAGATTGGGGTGTACTCGATTTTATTACGATTTCTTTGATTTATACGGATTTTTAATTTTCATTTTTTACACCCACTGGTGAGATATCCCATTGGGTGCCACGTCGGGGCCGGTTCTATCACGCCTTCTGTATCTATTTTAAAATTAATCACACCGGTTTTTTATCCACAAGACGTGTATTATCTGTCCCATTTGTACTAGTGAATTTATCGATTTATTAATCATCACGTGATTCGCGTTACGGTTCGTCGCTCATCGATCCCGTCATGCATCGAACGGTTAACGATACGTAATTATGTACCTTTGACTATAGGATCTATTGTCATTTGCAAATGCTGCGGACTCGCCGCTCCTTGCGCACAAGGATTCTAATTTGCATGAAATCGTGAGGAGGTGTATTGTCTCGTATTGTATTGCGAGTTACCGTAATTACCGATTTTAATTCTACTCCGGTAAATTTGCATCTGCAAGGAGAGAAATGTTGAATGTAAAGCACCAGAAAATCGAGGCAAATTTTACTGTACGGAGCGAAATTGTAGTTCAATAAAAAACACGTTTTGCGGAGGATATCTTACACGGAGAGAAATATTCAATAAAAATTACGTATCTTTTCCGTAATTCCGGAGCGAAATGTCGTTGTAGGAAATTTTACGGAACTGTCACGGAATTTTTCCAGAGCGTTCCGGAATTTTTATCTGAATCTCCTGTGAAAAATTACGATACCGTCACTTAAATTTTCTGAGTCGATTCCGCAATCGGTGAGCGACTTGTGAGTTCCGTAATTTTTACTGAATATTTTTCTCCGTGTACTACGTTCGATAAAAAAACATCTATGGGTGCAAACATTATTACTTCCAGTATACATTGTTAGAAATTTCGTGAAATTTCAGTCAGTGTCACCTGAATTTTCAGTGTTGTGCGTTTGAATTCAATTTCAAATGAAAACGTTCACTAAAGCTCTCATTCATCCTGATGATTCAAGAAAATTGGATTTTTCGTGTTGAAAAATCATTGATGAAAGCTTGAATTTTCAAACTCATCGTGAGAATTGAACAATTCAATTTTCAATAGATCGAAAATTCAGAGAAGTTATTACCTGAATTTTCAAAATTTTCAAGGCTGTTCAGGGCCGTATGGATATGAAAATCGAGAATTACTTGAATATTCAAGAAATTAACTGATTTGTCAATGAATTCTACAGAAATTCCATGGGACTTTGTCGTTGTTCAAAGTTTTAAGCTTTTTTACTTGAATTTTCAAGAGTAATTTCCTAACAGTGTAGCATAATTTCCCAAATGGCAGGGCATTTTTTCCTGGCGCCGATGTGAAGGACATGGGGACGGACGAAAGTGAAATTTTACCATATCCCGTTTTGTAAAAAATATCAGTCGCCGTCACAAACGACCTAACGTGGGGTAATTTTTGACGACATAAATGATAAATTTTACAATTTCGGCACAAATTATCCTCACGTCTAGTAAATTTTTTCAAATCAGCAGAGAACGCGGAGAAAATTATTTGGTGAATTGCAACAACTAGTTGTTGAAATTCAACAACTAATTAATTAACTTTCAATTCTTATGACGCTATTTCAAAACTTAATTTAAATAAAGTTCTTGATTGTCAAAAAAATAGGAAATTATCAGGAAGAAAAATAATTTTTCAATGTCGAATGTAAACTGAAAATTAATGTAAATTACAGTAATTTACGGAATTTTCACGGTAAATTCACCAGAAATAAAATTACCGGTAATTTGACATCTCTAGTGAAGACTGAAAATCAATTTATGCAACTTGCCAGTGGATTGGTTGATATCTAGATTGAGTCGGTTTTTTTTCCTTTAATTGGAAATTGATGAGGGAGGAAGTATGAGGACAGCTAGAGCGAGACGAGCCCCCAAGGAAACATACGTGGGACAGTTATTTGTGTTATACAATTTATGTACGAGATTATGTATTTTTATATTTATTTCCGCGTTTATTTTCCAGACATTGATGAGAAGATATTGCATTCCCTTGGATTTATAAGAGCCACAAACAGTATCTGATATATAGTTGGAAATCGTGAAATTGCAAATTTTTGAACGCCAGGAAAACGAGAATTCTTCGATTTATTTTCATTTTCATTCAATGTATTCATTCATTTCATCGAATTTACAAAGTCAATAAAAACCATCCAACTCTCATTACTTCTGTTATCTATAATGGTGTGTAATGGTTAGTAAAAAAACTCTAGTTAGCCTTTTAATTATGTTGGAACGAAATGAATTTTTAAGTACCTTGTTATTGGTCATGGTCGTGGCGTCAATTTTCATTAATGCTTGAAATTCCAGTCTAACTGTCACTTGATACAAAATTTCCAAAAAGTAAACCTGAAATTTCAGCCAAAAATTTCTAAATTTACAGTTTCCATTGACTCTTCTATAAAATTCTGAATTTTCAATGACGAAATCTCATGAAAATCCAGAGTAACAATCCCTCAATACAAATTTCCAAAAAAATATACCAGCAATTTCGGCGGAAATTTGTTAATCGCGGATAGTTACCCGAATTTCACAATTCAACTGAAATTTACAGTTTCAATTAATTTTTTCATCAAATTGTGAATTTCCGAATACAAAAATTCGTGGAGTTTGCGGGATAATAATTTTTAAGACAAAAATTTTCCAACAGTGTGGGTTAAGCTATGAATTCCATTCATGCCTTCTGGGTCAAGAGCCCATTTCCCTTTCCTCGCTCACAAAAAATCTCTAAATACTCCCATTTCCTCATAATTGTCCCTGAAATCTCCGAAAATCAGAGATAAATCCAGCCAGCCTCCTCATCACCACTTACGACGACTTGACAATCATAGCAGCACTTAATTATACCCAAACGATTATTCAATAAGCATAATGGATACACGAAGGCAATTGTCCTTGGTGCGTGTGGATCATCGATGCACAGCACGTCGCGCATTGTAATCCTTCTAATATCTATTTTGCCAATGGAGATATCCGGTCAATTCAAATAAAATAAAATGAGATAGAATAAAATAAAGAATTACTGGTGGACCTCAATTTTTAGGAATAAAAATATGGCATTAGGTGGACCGACAGTTGATGACAACAGACTCAACTCCAATATTTCACTGAAAATTTCGAGAAATTTCGTCGTTAGGACTTAAAATTTGGTGGAAGAATCAACAAAAACTGTAAAATTTAGCTCAATTCAGTACTAAATATTCATACTTCAACAGAAAATTTGTTGCTCAAAAATTTTATTATTCATTGAATTTTTAATCAAGTTCCAATGTTTTAAGCAGTATTTTTCCAACGGTGTTACCCGCTCAATGCAAATAAAAAAAATTGAATAAAGAATTGTAATGTAGCAAAGAATTACTGGTAGGCCTCATTTTTTAGGAACAAAAATATGGCGTTAGGTGAACCAACAGTTGATGAAAACAGAGAAATTTCGTCGATAGGAATTTATAACTTGGTGAAAAGACCAACAAAAACTGCAAAACCCAATCCAATTTTTTCAGTTCCCTAGTTTCGCTGACATTTTATAGAATTTCATCACTAGGAATTCATAATGCTCAATACTCATATTCCGATAGAAAATTCGAGTGAGGGAAAGAACTGTCGTTCCCCCGTTACTCAATTTCAAATTTTTTTATTACAGGATAGTCAACAGAGATATCCACTCAGAGCAAATAAAATAAAATAAAAATTATAACAAAAACATTACTTTCGTCCTAAAAAAACCTTCTTTAGGACCAAAAATATGACATTAAGTGAACGAACAGTCGGTGACAACAGACTCAGCTCCAACGTTTCACTGAAATTTCACTGAATTTCGTCGTTGGGAATTCATAATTCTATGAAAAAATCAACGGAAACTGTAAATTTCATAGAAAATTTCGATAGAGAATTCAAGCAAGTTGAAGAATAGTCACCTCCCTGCGGCTCAAAAATGTTGTCATCCATTGAATTTTCAATTAAATTCAAATTTTTTAATAACAGTATTTAGCCAACAGAGATATCCACTCACACTGACAGAAAGGATTAGTTATTGATAACGAAAGGATTTGGTTGGAGACGCACTGACAAAAATATCAATGGTAATTTTACCTACAAGGGAATGGTCAAAGAAATTATATTTACAGTAACAATAAACTTTGAAAAATAAACTAGGATTCATCGTTCGATTCACTATGTCAAATAGTGTCATCAACATTATGATGTGATTTACACGTTAATGTAATAGTTGAATCTACAATGTTTATTGTTACCGTAACTAAAATTTTTTTGACACTTCCCTTGTAGTTGAAATTACCATTGAAATTTCTCAGTGCGAGGGTTCATTCGTTAATAGTTAACAAATGCACATTTGTGGAGCCTTGTTTGGCTCAATTTTCCCTCTTCAAGTGAACCATTCGTTAACTATTAACGAATATTCATTTGACCATATTCCACTCTACCATTCGTTAATAGTTAACGAATTTCGTTTGGAACAAATAAATTCAGTAGTGAAGCGGTAAACCGAGTTAAGTCGATTTTGACTATTAGCCAGTTTTTGCTGAATATCTCGGAATCTAAGAGAGATAGTAAAATTTTTCTCATGACTTTTTTTATAACGCTCTATTGGCTCCACAAAAAAGGTCATGACATAAATCTTTCTATCTCGTTTAGATTCCGAGATATTCGTCAAAAACTAGCCAATAGTAAAAAACGACTTAACCCGGTTTACCGCTTCGCTACTGAATTAATCTATCAGTCCAGAGCAAATAAAATAAACTAAAAATTGTAGCAAAAAATGACTGCAAGCCCTTATTTTTAGGGCCAAAAATATGGCGTTAGGTAAACCAGCAGTCGATGACAACAGACTCAGCTCCACTGTTTTTACTGTCCCTGAACACAGTTGGGGTAAGAATGTCCGGACTGAGAAGGAGCCAGTATAAAAGCCCCGTCCGTCCTATTGCTCTGCTCAGTTACGACGAAACAAACGGTGCCGTTATCGCATTCCACACATTGAAACATTTATTATAAGGAAATTGCATGACGCTAACAGTTAAATCACTCTATAAATCGAATACTAAAACACGAGTTCAAGTTGAAATTTGCAAGCAAATTGATCGGAAAGTTTGAAGAGTTCGTTAAAAACATCAGCAATGGAAGGCTTAATCACGAATCAACTGTCGAAGGCCCGAATCTCGGGTGTTGTCTTCACCCCCGAGGACACCAGAAAGATGACTAGATACTCGGTAAACAGATCCATAACATTGACATAAACTAATGACAGGAAAAATATTTTGAATAGTTCAGAGAGCAATTCACACTGTTTACTCATTCACTTGAGAATAATGAGGCACTAATTCTGTGAAACCGCGTCGAGATAGCGTATGTAAATCATGATGACAATAGTGAGACTAAACAGGAGAGCATTATGTTAATAGAGCTCTTTTTAATGCAGCGGATTTATATTCGATTTTGTCGAAAAAAATCTGTTGAATGTTGAGTTATATAGTGTTCTGCTTTAAAATTTGCTCTGGTTTTGGGTTTTGGGGTCACATTCGTGGATAAAATTTTATGAAACTCGGTTGGAATTCACAATCAACGTGAATTAAGGATGAAATTATGCGTGAAATGCGGCAGGTCGACTGAAAATTGTGAGGAGATGCTGTTTTGAATCCGATAGACACGCACGCGTCGATCAAAAGTTCCGTGGAAGAGCTGTCAACAGTAAATTTAATTTGCAATTTTTATTAAACATATATTCACCCGGCGATCAAATCCCTTCACTAGTTATTTTAATTCCTCAGAAGAAATATCCCTGACATTTTTTCCCATATTTTTTATTATTTCGCTTATCAGGAAATATTTAAAGAATTAATTTACTACACATTAATTCTGGAATGAAACCCACAAATTCAATTAAGGATGAAATTATTCGTGAATTGCGTCATTTCGACTGAAAATTGAGGAGGAGAGGCTGTTTTGAATCCGATAGACACGCACGCGTCGATCAAAAGTTCCGTGGAAGAGCAGTAAATTTAATTTGCAATTTTTATTAAACATATATTCACCCGGAGATCAAATCCCTTCACTAGTTATTTTATTTCCTCAGAAGAAATATCCCTGACATTTTTTCCCGTATTTTTTATTATTTCGCTTATCAGGAAATATTTAAAGAATTAATTTACTACACATTAATTCTGGAATGAAACCCACAAATTCAATTAAGGATGAAATTATTCGTGAATTGCGTCATTTCGACTGAAAATTGAGGAGGAGAGGCTGTTTTGAATCCGATAGACACACACGCGTCGATCAATTGTTCCGTGGAAGAGCAGTAAATTTAATTTGCAATTTTTATTAAACATATATTCACCCGGAGATCAAATCCCTTCACTAGTTATTTTAATTCCTCAGAAGAAATATCCCTGACATTTTTTCCCATATTTTTTATTATTTCGTTTATCAGGAAATATTTAAAGAATTAATTTACTACACATTAATTCTGGAATGAAACCCACAAATTCAATTAAGGATGAAATTATTCGTGAATTGCGTCATTTCGACTGAAAATTGTGAGGAGATGCTGTTTTGAATCCGATGGACACGCACGCGTCGATCAAAAGCTCCGTGGAAGAGCTGTCAGCAGTAAATTTAATTTGCAATTTTTATTAAACATGTATTCACCCGGCGATCAAATCCGTTCACTAGCTATTTTAATTCCTCAGAAAAAATAACTCTGACATTTTTTCCCATATTTTCTAGTATTTCTCTTATTAAAAAACATCTCAAGAATGAATTTACTACACACCGATTTTCGAATAAACCCCACAAATTCAAATTGAGTTCACTCTTTGAATAGGCTCGGACAGTATTTCTGTTGATAAGTATAATCGAAATTCACTGCCGCGTTTACACATTCTCCCCTTTTCTTATAAAATCGTGATAAAAATTTCTGTCCCTTATCTCTTCCCTCTCTCATGTTTTCCTCACGTGTTATTTTCATTCATGTTTTCGGCCATGCAACTTGATATCACCCCAAGTCCATTGACATCATCGACTTGACCAGCACTGACGGAAAGGATTAGTTATTGTTAACAATAAACTAAAAAAACGAATTTATATTGATCTCTTTGATTCACAAGAAAAGTCCGACAAAAAAACATCGAAAAATAGAATTCCATCAATTTTTTCTGCGGAATATATTCCATTGATCATTTCTATTGAAAAAGCCAGCGCACAAAAGCTGCGGCATAGAAAGTCCACTAGAAATGCAAAAAAAATTTCCAGGTTTTTTTAATAATTTTTTTCTACATGTATTCAATTTAAAAAAATATACCTCTGAATGCGATATTATCGTGGGATAGAACAACGGTGGAAAGCTCGAATTAATGAGTGAGGATGATCTTGCCTAGTTATTGGAAGAAATACGATATGCATTGTGTGGCCAGTTGCGTGCAGCAGTTGTACGTGAACCTTGAGAAGTCATGGCTTGCTATGTATTCCCTGTTGTATTCGCCTAACCATTCTGCATTAGCGTAACAAAACAAATAAAATGTATATGTCTCACTGTCGTATATCTGAGGATACATGTTGCCTATTCGTGAATAAAACGACGACGAGAGATGATGAAAAACAGCGTCACATGTGCCTCTGATGTCGAAGAATGCGAGGTAGCGATGGGGAATTGAATAAATAAGTAACAAGATGCGCTTTGTGGAACGTGTGTCGTCGAATGGGATTAGTCGCCAAATCTCAGCTGAATGTTGGTGGCACAGTGAATGGATTAAGGGAGCGTAATAAGATTAATTCACAATGATTGCAGCTGGCTGACGCAATGACCGAGAATGAAACCACGATGGACTATCACATTAGAACTGTCACGGCCGATGCTAAGCCCAAAGTTTTGGCTTTTCTCAGGCGCTTTTTCTTTCGTGATGAACCATTGAATCACAGCATTGGACTCATTCCCGAGGGGGAGAACAGCACTTGTGTGGAACTCGAGGAGTACTCCATGTCTTCGCTGGACCAGAATTTGAGTCTCATGGCGGTAGCGTCCAGCGGAGCTATCGTCGGGGTGCAGATCAATGGTGAGATTTTTTGAGGATTTTTATCATTTTGAGATTTTTTCCCGTCTCATTTTTAGACAGTAGAATTGCCCTATTCGACTGTTATTCTATGCAGTCAACACGGTATTCAACTGATAATTTTTGGTAATTCCATTGGTAATTTTTCATGTTGATATATGTATGAAAAATAAAAGATTTCCTGGTCGAGTGCAGGGATAGCCAAATTTGTAATATTTTATTACGGTTAATATTCTAGCCCTTCATTAGATAACATCACTCTTGAAATTTTTGCATACGACAATTGTTTAAATTAAATGATTGCTTTTGTTAATTTGTCTATGGGATTAAATTGAGTGGAAAATTTCAGACACATTTTTTTTCCATTTTGAAAAATGACTCGGACGTTTTCTACTGAGATCTAGTTATCGATTATTTATTATTCATGGGAATAAAAAATGGGTGGTTTATGTTATACATTCGGCGTATTAAATATATTCAATTTTTACTGCAGTATTTCAATAATTAATTGGTCAAGGTCTGGACAATGGTCGATAACAAATGCATTAGCATGTATGAAGTGGGTTTTTGCATGAAATGTTTTATTAAATAAAGTGATGAAGAACAAAAATGTAATGAAAAACGTTAGAGGCGTATTTTTGAAAATCAGGGAGTTGCGGTCAATTGAATATTGTAGCCCTTCATTAGATAACATCACTCTTGAAATTTTTTGAATACGACAATTGTTTAAATTAAATGGTTGCTTTTGTTAATTTGTCTATGGGATTAAATTGAGTGGAAAATTTCAGACACATTTTTTTTCCATTTTGAAAAATGACTCGGACGTTTTCTACTGAGATCTAGTTATCGATTATTTATTATTCATGGGAATAAAAAATGGGTGGTTTATGTTATACATTCGGCGTATTAAATATATTCAATTTTTACTGCAGTATTTCAATAATTAATTGGTCAAGGTCTGGACAATGGTCGATAACAAATGCATTAGCATGTATGAAGTGGGTTTTTGCATGAAATGTTTTATTGAATAAAGTGATGAAGAACAAAAATGTAATGAAAAACGTTAGAGGCGTATTTTTGAAAATCAAGGAGTTGCGGTCAATTGAACGATCATTTCATTATTTATCGAAGTAAAAAAAATGTTGAATATTTTGGTTCAATTTTCAAAAGATTTTACGCAAAAACCCAATAGTGAAAGACAATTTCGTCTCAAAATCAATTACTACGAAGGAAATTTCATGTTTCTCAATAATTTTTGCGATGCAATGAGTGATTCTCTGATCAATATTTTCCAATCTAAAAAATTCTCCGGTAATTGATATCCAGGTAAAATTGTCCGCTTCATTCTTGAGATTTATCACTCCATTAGTGTCATTAGAACTCGTATTTAACCAAGTGGAAATCGTAAACGAAAACGTAATTAATTGCCTATTCCCCTGAAATTAAATACCCGTTAGAAGATTTAAAAAATCGTAAAAAATAGTGCAGGAAAAAAGGAAAAAATTGCAGAAATGATTATCGCATTTCATGCAATTGAATGTCGAGAATTATATCTGATCGAGTGGCACATAAAGAATGGAAAAACCTATCGGAAATATTCCACACGATAACATTGTCTCGATAGTATTAAATTGTGATAGCGAATGGTTCTGACGATTGGAGTGAAGTGACCCAGCGACCCCAATTGAAATAACTGAGGACAGATTTACGAGCACTCGTATTTGAATTGAATTTCATTCATTCGCGCTTTGAATTCGTTCTTCAAATGATGCGTGTGCCCAATTGCAATTCGTTACGTCCATTAACAACAATCTCCCGCGGGTCCTTATGACAAAGTCTAATGGATCAGTGAAAGTGTTTGATTATTGTGCAATGGGAAATTACAGCTTGCAAATCACCAAGGTTTAGCTGGGAAAACTGAATTTACGGTAGAGTTGTAATTAGCCGAGTTTGTGGCAGGATTGATCGATCTTGTCTCAGTTTTTTTCAACGGTTTTTCATTGTGCTACGAGGAACAACGTCGGAGGCTGTAGATCCATTCACTCGATTGCACGATAATCGACAATGTACATATTCAATACCATAGATCGACAGTGGGACGTGCATTTTCCGTTAGTTAATGGGATTATAATGAAGTATATCGACAGCAAGGCGAGCTGAGGTTTCTCCTTAAATACTGATATTATGGATCATAAAGTATAAGTGACAAGTGAACATTATGTTGGAATAGACAGGGGTAATTCGAGTCAATGGAACGTTTGATAAGTCATGAATCAATTTGTCGGGAAGTCGGAAAATGTGATAAATCAAAAACTCATTTGCATGGCGAAGATTTTTCAGTGGATTCATGGGAATCTTTGAATTATTTCACGTTATTTATTGCTTCATCTCTGTTCACTACTCGCTGTTGATAATTTTTGGGGGAAAATTTCACGTCAATTATTTCATGAAAATTGATAAATATGTTCTTCAATTTTTAATTATTTGAAAAATCCCCTTAATTTTCAACTGTATATTATTGTTTAAATTATCGTGAAGAGGTCCCAAGACAAAATAATCATCTTCATTTAATACTACATTAAAAAAACTAGACTGCCAGACCAAAAAATACAATTTATCCTCATCATTCACGCGACAAAAAAATTGATAAACAAAATCTGACAATAATTAGTCTCCTCGCAGGCATTACGGAACCACCCGAGGAGGAGGAGCCCGACTACATAAACACCTGTGCAAATCCGAAATTCAAGAAAATCCTGAAGCTCCTGCACCACGTGGACAAAGAGGTGGACATAATAAACCGATATCCAGGTAAGAAAATCATGGACATCCGGATAATATCGGTGGACAGTAACTGGAGGGGTCAGGGTGTAGCAGCAGCTTTATTCGAAAAAACTATGTAAGTGGTTTATAATTCGATCTGCGGATTAATGGCCGACTGACGGCCAACAATTTCGTCGAGTGAGTTATTCAATATCGAGGCTTATGTGGAAATATCTATCGCATTGCAGCGAGATAGGCAGGGAGTTGGGTTACGACCTCATCCGCACTGACTGCAGTTCTCACTTCACCGCCAGGCTGTGCAAGAGACTCGGTTTCGAGGAGATTTATTCACTCGGGTATGTGGATTACGTTGATGAGAGTGGAAAACCTGTATTCACACCTGCTACACCGCACGCCACTATCACAACATATGTACGAAAGCTCTAGGCTACGATTTATCTATTTATTGATCTATGGAGTGATCAGGCGATGTGATAAGATTATTCAAGTCAAATGTGTAAATTTCTGTAATTAGAGCTGCAATTTGGGGATGAGTTGTTTGTGGGAAATGTCAGGATTGTGGAGAGGTTCTCCTGATGATTGATTTCTTGCAAAATTAGTCACTAGTGAGATAATTAAGTCATTAAGGAAGAAAATTATTTCAGGAATCATTCGACGTTCTGAAAATATCAATGGAAAGAGGTTTTGAGAAATTTATAAATTACAAATAATTGATGTAAAATGTGGGAGAATATTTTTTGAATTTCTTTTCTGTAAACTTGATAGTTCCAGAGATATTTTCGGCTGTCAATTCATTCGACAATCGATTATTATTTAGATGTTCTTCTTAGACATTATGAATGATGGCACTCATTTCCGCTCATTTATCGTTCTAATTACGCAGATGTGATATCCCTTCCATCATTTTACCACCAAATTGTTCAACTGAATTAGTCTTTAAAAATGAAAATTTAACGTATCATTGTCATTTATATTTTTACATGTATTGATATTCGTTTTGATAAGAAAATAAATTAATTGAAATGTTTGAATTGTACGTCATTTAACAAAAATAATTCACTATTTCTGTTATCTCTTCACACGAGGTAATTTTGTAGTCATTTAACTGGGCCATCCAAAGTTTATAAAAATTTATAAATTACAAAATGTTGATGTAAAATTCATAAAATTGATTTAGAAATTATGAAGTGATGGGATTCATTCCCTTTCATTTATCCTTCCAATTACGCAAATGTAATATCGCATCATTTTGCCCCTAAATTATTCAACTGAATTAGTCTTCAAAAATGAAAACCTTTATTGACATTCGTTTTAATAAGACAATAAATTGATTTAAATATTTCAACTATACATTATTTCACAAAAATAATTCACTATCTCTGTTGACCTTACACGAGGTGATTTTCTCCTCATTCATCCGGGCCATCGACGCGATTGAGGAAGGAGTCAATGCTCTCCGATACAGATCGATGACGCTTTGCCCTCTCCCGGAGTTTCTCAAGTTCTGCGCTGTACCTCGCGGAGCGTTCCAGCATCTTCTCTCTGTCGAGGGTCGGGGAATAAACGACTGCCAGAATCTGAAGGCTGAAGCCTACTGCACTCAGTAGGACGCACAGCAGAACGATCGTGGTTTTTGAGACGTTTTTCGGGTCACCACTTTCGAAGTGCGTCCTGTCGTACGTCGCAAAGGGGCCTCCCCCTTTCCTTCGTAGGTGGTCGGCTCGCCAGTGCTCAGAGTGAGACTCTCGGTGACCGTAATATCTGGAATTCAATTAATTTAATGGAATTTAACTGAACGGAAAGCATTTTATTACACACTGAGATGTAGAATCCTTCGGGCAAGCCATTGAAGTCTTGTTCCCATACGAATTTGGTACTGAATACACGGTCCAACAAATTTGGGACGTGTCAAGGGCCCAAAATAATAATTATTATTATTGTTCCGAATTTTTCAATTCTCCTGGCGAAAATCGGTCAATAGAGAAAATAGCCAAGAGAGGGAAGAATTTTGAAGTGTCCTCCGCTAGATAAACTTGTGACTTGTGAAATTAATTCACTGGTAACAATATGTATACAGAAACTCCTGGAGAGATGTTTATTGATGATAACTGCTGTTGGAATATGGGATGCAGGTTATGGAAGCAAATAAGTTGAATCAGTTTAACCAGAGCAATGATACCATTTATTAGAGACGTGCTTTCTCTCTGAGAGCCGTCGAGGAACTAGACTCAAAATCAAATAACTAATAAGCAATACGCATATCCACCACAAAGGGGATAAAGGAGAACAGTCGTTTCTTTCATTCTCTTGAGTTCGTCATTTGTTTATATGACGCTAAATAAACAATCAGCTTCAGAGAGTCGTACAGACCTCCCAAGCATCCACTCTCTCATTTATACCAACTACGTCACTCTTGATAATTTAATTAATTATTTTTGTATATTTCAACAACTGCCAAAGAACCAATGTATTTTCCATGACCGGAATGAATATTTTCCTAGTACTGAGAGAGACCCACCGTTTATTCTGCTCAACATCGTTTAAACATTCATAAGCAGAAATTTCCATCAATTAGATTTGTTTCTACAAGGTTATTGAGACCCGTGGTATGATAGGTTTGAATTTAATGACATATCAGCCTCCAAGTTTACACCGTCTCCTCCGTCAATAAAATCAAAAATTGTGTTAAATTTTATATTTTTTCGCTCAGAAGTTTATCGAATTATATCAAAATGAACTGAAGCATCAAAGGGACCAATCTTTGAAGCATTTGTAGGTTTTTTTCATTGAAATTGCTAGTATTTTTCATCCGTAATTTTTTTTTCAAAATTCTCAATTTCCACATTTTTCGCCACTTTGGGATTTTTTTGCTCCCGACCCCGACGAGGGGGCGTCTTCCGGTTTGCGCGGTTGGAATCGAAATTAAAAAAGCTATCTAGGGGTGTAGGTTTCATTCTTGGCCCTTGACACGTCCCAAATTTGTTGGTGATATTAATGTTCTCATTGAAAATTTAAATAAAATGGGGAATTCCTATCTTCTGGAATTTCTATCTGGGATTCCTATTTTCAAATGTACAAGGATTCACTCACGTTCGGCCGACGGGATGATAAGACGTATAACGCAACTGATTTCTTGCGCTCAATTTTGCATCGTATTCTTTTCTCGTGGAATCTTTACTCAATACGTTGTACGCTTCTGTGAGTTTGATAAATTCTGTGTGGCCAGTCTTGTTTCCTGTGTCCGGATGCACCTGAAAGTAACAATTACTCATGAATAACAAGGATAGAGTCATCAATTTCATAAATACTGAAAATTTTATTTTTATTCTTGTTTTCATTTTTCCAAAGCGATATTGTACTGCAATTTTCTACTTACTTGTTTAGAAATATTTAAAAACGCTGCTCTGATATCCTTCCTCGAAGCATCATTCTTTACCCCCAAAATTTCGTAATAGTTCTGTCCTCTTCACTCCGGGAAATCCGCCGAAAATTAACGTTTGACATTTGTTATGAAACACAAGAGGAACTTCGCAGTTAGAAATATAAACACAAACGATTCATAACCACGAATACATCGAGTCAGATTTTCACCTGCGAACTGCATAATAACGTTGTGCATGCTTGAGATATCCAACGACTCTGAGAATTCGACACACCTCAGACATAATTTTAAGCTTGGTTGCAGAGATCAACAGCAACATGTAAATTTGTCCCTCATTTTTTTCATTCCCTCCCCCCCCCGGCTGACAAAAAATCTAACAGCTGATACTTGGCATTTGGAGTTACTGTCAAAAGGGAAAATAAAACTGTTCGAATGCCGCACGAAAATGTAATTCTGCTGGCATCTGTTAGAGTTTTAATCAACTCGCCGAATAGTCTGTATTTGCTACGATCGGTTACGCGAAATAGCGAAACTCTCGCGCGATTTTTTCGGTAGAAAAATTCAGTCGATATTTATTCAATGTGAGGAAATGAAAAAAGTTTGATTTTTCCATGCGATTTATTCTTGATAACAATTTTATTAAAGATAATGGGAATATAAATAACACTAATACTCATTCGGGATTTGTGAATTATGCATTTATCTCCTAGATAAATTTTTTTAACTGTAGGAATTTTTAAAATAAGCCTCTCTTAACAGATTCGGTTGTGTAACGGCTAATTATAAAGGGATATTAATATTTTTCAACCCTTCAAAATTGGATTTTTAATGATTCACGCTCTTTCTAACTTCGATTGCCAACAATAATCCGAGATAATATCACAAATAACGTAATTATCGCTGTTGATGGATGGCTAATTTCTGATGAATTACAAGGCACGGCTCCAGCAACAGACGTGCAGGCGCAAGCTTCGATGACGTGGCTGTCCACCTATTAAAAAATACAATAATTAAATGAACAGATCAATCATCACATCTCATCGATAGCCAGAAAAATGTTTTTTTTGAATGACTTGTTTCAAGAAAAAGGATTTACTTATATGAAACAAATAATTTATTTATTCCAAATTAAATTTATATTAAATCTGAAAAAACAATTTATTTAGTTTAGATAAAGAATTTATTTGGATCAAATAAAGATTTATCAGTCGGAAAAAAACATTTATTTAATATAAACAAAACTTGAAGAATAACATTTTTTATTTAATTTGAAAAAAAAATTAATTTGGTACTATTTAAGTAAACGTATTTATTGGAATCAAATAAATCATTTTTCCGGGTGCAGGGAATATTTCTAGTTACCTTTTGGGTGTAACATCCCTCAACAATTGGCGACTCCTTATTCTCCACCATTTTCCCGCAGAAGTGACTTACATTTTGCACTAGAAAATTTTCAGTGTCAAAATCAAACTGACAACTTATTTCTGTGACGTGATATTCATACCTGCATCGTTGAAAGTGTACGTGTACTTTATGCAGACGAATCCCTTTTGCATGTGACAACCGATCACCGAGCGATCCTCCTTTTCCCATATCACGTTTGTATCCGGCAGTTTGCCAGAGGCTTAAAAGAAATTTTAACCCTAGGTTAGTCACCCTATGAAAGAAACTCCGCCGCGCGCTCTTTTTCTTAAATACAATTGACTGGCTAACAGGAAAAATTCAAAAAAATTTGACTTTCTGAATGGAAGTGGCTAAAAAATTATAGTAGTTTTTAGAACATATTTCCCAAAATTCCTAAAGAAAACAAATCATTTCGAACAGAGGAATTATTTTTTCATATGGTAAATGGAATTGCTCATGACGCGACGTTGCCGGAAACTCGCTAAACGCGCCCGGGCAGTGTAGAGTGAATTCGGCAACGCTAAAGGCTAAACAACACGGTGGGGAATCCCCGCGGAGGTGACCAATCGCAGGGTCGCGTTTGAAAAAAACTTGTATAGAAAAATTAAATTCCATTGAAAATTTTTCAATTTTCTTTTTTTAAATTTTTTTAGTGGAAAAATTAAATTCCATTGAACGAGGAATGGAATTTAATTCCATTGATTAATTTCCATTGAAATTTTGAAGGATTGAAAAATATTAATATCCCTTTATAATTGTTTTTCCATTGAATTTTTCTAGAGAAACGTAAATTTCAGTTCAACACGCACGAAAAAATTTAGTAGAAAAATTAAATTCCATTGAATTCTTGCGTGTTGAACTGAGATTTACGTTTCCCTCCATTTTTTCCATTAAAATATGAATTTCCAATGACGAAATTCCTCGGAATTTAGTGGAGTTGTCACTTGGAATCACTAGAATAAGTACTTGAATTTTCCTATTTCTAATAAATTTCCATGAAATAATTGAACTGAATTTTGACGTTTTCATTCATTTATTCATCAAACGGTGGATTTTCAATGACGAAATCTCTTAAAATTTTAGTGAAAGCGTCTGATAAAAATTTCCAAAAAGCATTGTGAGGTGAAATTGACTTATTTCGTTTCACCTTTTGTATATAACTCCGAACAATGCTTTGTCTTTTCAAGCATTAATTTGCCCCCAGAAATAAATAAAAAAGTATTTGATTTCATCCCTTCACATACCGGAGATTGTAATTGGCTCAAAGCATGGTGTAGTAATATTGGAGCAGCTCTTCGATTTATTGGCCTCTTCAGGATCCAGTCCCAACCAGGTGAACTTGAAACAGTATGGCTGCTCTGGGTTGTATTTCCTCTCTAACTCTTGAGATCAATACAATCACTAAGTCAATAAATTCAATTATAAACAATTTCAATTAGTTATTTATAATCAGCGAATGTTTAAAAAATAATAATTCTGTGCAAAATGTAAGTTGAATGACTCTGAATATCCATGATTTTTTCAAATTTAATTGACAAATTTGGTTATTGAAAATGATTGAATTTACATTTTCAATAAATAAAAAAATATAAATATTAGAAAATCGTAACACGTAGCTAATGAAATGGACTGGAAATTCTGTTTCCTCCTAAAATTAACAAAAATTCAATTCTAAAAATTTTCAACACTCATCTTTCTACCAGAAAAATACTGAATAAAAGAAGAGGTTTCTATCTTTATCAAACCCATTCTGTTAAATCCTCACTATAAATAATTCTCCTTCGGAAATATACTTGAAACCACCCCCTTCACCACTTCGTAATAAACTCCACAGATCGTATTATTCTCAAAAAAAAATTAATTTTTACTTATTGAGAAAACAGCGGCCCACAGAGCGCCAAAAATGAAGAGAATCCGTCGCATGTTGTCCGAAAAATATCACTGCTTTATCGTCTTCCTATCTTTCTGTGTCCTCCCCCCTTGAATGCTGATAAATTTTATCAAACTTAATCTCATTATCGATGAATTGTCAGATTGATGACGTGAAGGAGATCTGTACCAAGAAATCGCATAGAATTACAGACAAAAATTCTCAAAAACTTTCTTTATTCGTTTTTCGGATGTGAATTATCAACACAAATAATTAATGAATCAAACAATGAATCAACCAATCGATCAATGAATCCTCATTTCGATGGTCAGAGCACGTTGAGATGAACTTAATACATTATCTTACACATAAAGACTCTCGGAGGTCTCGATGACTGACGTACGAAGTGATAAAAATACAATTTCTCATAAAAATATAAAAATTTTGTTCGTACAACTAGAGAAGTGTCACTAGAGCTAGTAATGCTTTTCACGATTTGCGTGGTTATCATTCCCTTTTAAGGTCCGACGTGTGGATCGATATCACGTGATCAGAATAAACTCTTCTGGTGATTAAGTAGAGAGTTTTGGATTTTTAGAATTCGTCGTGCCTCGCCAGGGCCTCGCCGAAGTCAGTCGCCTGAGAGCCGACGAAAATATCGTATTTCTCGAGAATTTCGTCTTTTGTTAGTTTTTGGTCGGCATCTTGGTCAGCTTCATAGATCAGGTGGCGAGCCTCTGCCTCTGCGTGGTCGAAGTCTTCAGGGATTATCCAATTTTTTACCTGAAGGAGGACACGTTGATTATCGAGGGGCTATTTTAGTTTACACTGAATTCCAATTGATTCTATTTAATTTTTTACGCCAATTATTCTACTGAGATATTTTCCATAAAAATTCTCCGGCACAAATTTTCCAAGTGTTTTTGTCTGATTGTTTCGATGTAAAAAGAAGAAAAATAGAGTGGGAAAAGCTTAGAAAATTCGTGGCGTGGAATTCTTGTAGAAAAAGTTGAACTGTGAATAATAAAATTTTACTGATTTTTTCCATAAAATAGTTTCTGTTAGATTTTTCCCATTAAAGAACGTGATTTTTACGAGATCTACAAAAATGTTTTTTCTAAACATTTGCATGATCTCACGTATTCAATAACATTCATAAAAAAAGTCCTGGATGAATTCATGAATCGACTGTTTTTACCTCTTCAGTGTCCATAAATCCGTCCTTATCTTTATCCCTGAACCCAGTGAACTGTTCTTTTTCATTCTTCACCCACTCGGGCTCTTCATCATCGTCAGAGCCTCTGTACATATCACCTGTACGAAAATAAAAAAATTCATTCAATTTTCTATATTCAGAATTATTCAAGTAATTCAATGACCAGAATGAGATAAAAAGTAAAATATAAAAAGGCGAAAAATGAATAAATTCCATCAATAAACGATTGAAATGCTTCAAAATTACCATCTAAATGAATATATGATTTTATAAATGTCCAAACAAAAAATATTGCTGAAATGAAAAGAAAAAGCTCAAATAGAGATTTCTTAGAGTCACATGTTCACAATTATAAAAAAACTGCAAAACTGAAAATACATTGCAACTGTAATTCAACAAAAATCCTCAACTAGTGTACCCGAAATTTCACCCAAAAAGTCAACAGCCTAGTGAAAATGAAAATAAAATGCCAATAAAAATGGAATAAAAACTTCACCAAAGAAAGGACTCCTCACCAATATATTCAACAAGTGAGATCTTCCCATCCCCATCCTTATCGATATCCTCCAGTGTCTCCTCCACGACAACATCCTTCATGTGATCGGTCTCCTCAGGATGTAAGAAAGCAGTGAACTCCTCCTTCGTGAGTGCATCGTCGCCATCTCGATCAGCAACAGACCACCTCCTCCTGTCCCTCTTGAGCATCACAACGTACGACCAATTGTCATCGTTCTCCTTCGCCTCGAAGTCGCTGGCATCCATGAACTCGTACACCAGCTTCTTGTATTTCGTCCAGGGAATTGTCTCCAAGTCCTCGGGATTGTGGGACTTCCACTGGCGCTCCACGTCGTCCCTTATGTACCTCTGCTGCGTGTACCTGATCCAGTCTCTGAGCTCTTCCTTGGTGACGAAGCCATCCTTATCCTTGTCGATTTTGTCGACGATTATCCCTAGACGTCTGGTGCTCTCCTCCGGGGACAATTGGTTGAATGTCTTCGCTTCCTCACCGAGAAATGCCTCGTGGTCGTACTCTGGGTTGTGATGGGACTTTACAAAGTGCTCTTGGTCACTCAAGTCCTGAGAATAAATTCTAAGGTGAATTGGATGAATAGGAAATCCACAAGAATTTTTTTATATCGCCCTTTTTGTTTGAATTCTCAAGAATAAACATCTGGTGATTTAACGAGATAACTTCGTAATTTGTGTCAGGGGAATTGTTCATTTGAATTAAATAAAAGAGTTTATTTCAATTTGACTATTATTTGGGGTTTTATTCATATGAAATAAATAGGGTTTTTGGCACCAAAATTAGAATTAAATTAGAAATTAAATAAATGGTTTTTGTGATTCTGCTAGAGGATTTATTTTGAATGAAATGTTTGTTTTATGTAATTAAAAAATTTTCATTGAAGAAAATCTAAGAGTTTTCTAATTCCAGACAGAAATATTGTTGAGATGAATTGACAAATTTCGACTAAAAATCTGCAAACCTTTTTTGTAGAAATTTTCAATAACAAAAATGACTTCCAATAATTTCATCATAAAGTCACTCGTTAACGAGCAAAATCATTCAGATTGAAATGAATGAATTTACAACTCTGCGATTATCTCCCAAACGAGTTAATTTACGATAAAATGTGAAAAAACATTTTTTATAGCTGAGAAAATATCCAGCAAAAAATACATCCTGACAATTTCTCGTAAAATCACTCATTAACGAGATAATCCCAAAATTGCACAGATAACATAAAACAAAGTTGTTTTTTATTCCAGAATGAGGTTAGACTTCTCATTCCCACTTGTTTATAATTAAACATGACTTGAAACTATCTCAAAGAATGCCATTGTCCCCTGGAACAGGTGAAGGAAGCCCTCCAAGTTGAGGACAATTGGATTAAGACGGTTGAACCCACTGGGTTCAAAGTATTTTGACACGAACCTGATCAAGAACTCGATGTTTCACCTCGTCCTCAGGCTTGGGGATCCCATGGGCGACAGCCAGGACCACCAGGAGGCTCACCACAGCCGTCCTCAGCATTTCTGATGATTGAAATGTCACCCAAACTGCGGTAAATACTGACAGCAACTGAAATAACACTCCCCCCTGCAGTTCACACTCCTCTCTCGTGATTTAATCGTCACTGGGAGTTTGAATCGAAATTAAAAATAGGGAAAGAGAGGAAAACCGAATGGAATTTCAGAGAATAGAAAATGATCTTTTGGAGTTGTGCAGCTTCCACATCATCAACGAGCCGCCGAGGCCTTTCATGCAGACCACTGCGAGTGCATGCCCCCACTCTCTTCATTCTCTTCCCTCTTTTTTGCTCTGGTCGTTGTGAACCCACTCCACCTCTCACTCTCGAGCATTGAGTAGCGGTTGAACACATTCATGAGACGTTCTGCGGCTCACGTGGCCCCGCGCTCAACCCTTATTCTAATCCGAGAAATCGTAAATAGTCAATCGTAAGGAGAGAAAAAAATGAGTCTCGCGGGTGGGACGAGGGGATTAATTATCTTTAAAGATGGAGCGTTGAACTGGTTGGGAATACGTGACTTATTTTTGTCTCAGGGAATGTGGGAGCGTTGAATTGTTCATGGAATAATTTTATTTTTCAATTGAAAGAGCAATGATTCTTCTTTGTGATGAGCTTAGACTGAGTTCAGTTGATAAATCTGTTTCTGAGTTGTAAATATTTTTAAAAAAGTCAAGTGTCCATTTTACCCCACTCTCCCCTATAATTTCCAGGAGAGTTACAGTGAATGCGATTCAGGGGGAGAAAACGAAATTTTACTGGAAATTCAATCAATTTCCGAATATTTGAGCAGCAGAAAGACTGGAATTCCCCATTTTACTTGAATTTCCGGTGGGAACATGATACATGAATGTTCAGTATCAAATTACGCTGCATTTTCGATTAAATGAAATTTTAAGAATAAATATACCTGATTTCTACCCAGGGATGGGCATCAATATTATATTTCTATAATTATATTTCTTCACTATTAAAAGGATTTGCTGTTTACATTGATAAATGTTTGAAATATACTCATCAAAATTAATAAATAATGTAACATTAATAGTTTAAATTTCCGACTGATGATGAATTCAATATTTGATAATATACAACTGTAAATTTTCCATTAAGTGAATATTTCTAATTTTTTAAAAGGGATTGTCGATTAACCAAATAATCAGAAATTTTCCTACCTAAATTATTGCTTAATAAAATGGTTGAAATTTGAATGTTTAAATTAATGATTACTTGAATAATTTAAAGTTTAAGAGTGATGTTATCTAATTGACGGCAAAATTTAACGGTCATTATGATTTATTAATATGGCTATGCCTGGTTCTATCATTTTCTATTTTTTTTGCTCTCGTCGTTGTGAATCGATTTCTCCTCTCAATTGCGATTGAATACCATGCGCTCAACCGTTATTTTAATCTGAGAAATGGTAAACAGTCAATCGTAAGGAGAAAAAAATCAGTCTCGTTGGTGGAACAAGGGGATTAAACATGAAGCGATGAACTGATGGGGAAATATATAATTTATTTCATGTATTTTACTTTCGAGAATGGATGGAGCAATGAACAAATTTCATGGGCGAAATTCCGTTGATTTGTAGTTTTCAGAATTGCATTAAATTCCATTCACGGGAAGGGAGCATTAAATTTCACGTAAAGTTCAATAAATTTCGGAATATTTGAGCAACAGAAAGACGGGAATTCCCCATTTTACTTGAATAATCCCCCTAAAATATTCGTAAAACTTCACGGAGAGAAATGTTCAGTAAAAATTACGGAACTCACAGTTCGCTCATCGACTACGGAATCGACTCAGAAAATTTAAGTGACGGTATCGGAATTTTTCACGGGAGATTCAGATGAAAATTACGGAACGCTGTGGAAAAATTCTGTGACAGTTCCATAAAATTTCCTACAACCACATTTCGCTCCGGAATTACGGAAAAGATACGTAATTTCTATTGAATATTTCTCTCCGTGTTGATCATTCAATCCTTTCTGAAATGATTTGTGACAAAATTACCCAAAACCAATGAATAAGGTCCCTTCAAACCGATTCCCTGCGCAGACCGAGTAATTTCGGGGGTCGCACTTCGCTCAGCCATTCCGAAAATGCCACATTACACCCGGCGCGAGGAAATATATTACCCATCGCGATTTCTGCATTCAACAGAACTTTTCCACCACAATGACTGTCCTCCCACCCCGGTGAGGAGATAAGAATTAAGACATCATGAATCACAACGTCCAGATACCACAGGAGTATTATCAATACGTTCCGGGTTGTACTATCACTCTCAATGGTGTCGCATTTAGGGCGCGCTTATCCAACTTATCTCATATTTGTTTGAGATAAAAATATGAGCTGTGTTCCAGGTAGACTCATACGGCAGGTACAACCTGTCTCCGCTGAAGCTATTGTCTACGGAAATTATATTTTTTCATTGAACAGTGCATGCGATTTTTTCGGGATTTGAGATTGTCGAAGAGTGATCGATCGATTGGGGAATGGCGATCAAGGGGTCTGAAGCTGCGAGGCTCGAGAGGGCAATTGGATGTGTCAAGTACACGGTGTTCTCTTTCAGCGCCATTTTATGGGTGAGTCCCAGCGATTCATTGATGAAAACATTTAATAGAAAAACCTAGCGAATTTGCTAGACAATTCTATTGGATTTCTACACTGAGAGAAAAATTTCCTAATACGTAGACCATATTTACTTGGGAGAAGTAAATTATTTTCAAGGGTTTAAATCTCAGAATGTTCGCGGTTCACGGAAATCGAATGAATTCTCATTTACCACTATCGTTGCGCATTATATCATGAATATATTACATATCGAAATATTGCAACTGCATAACAAAAAAATTATGAAAACAATAAATACTTGAAGATTGACGATTCTTCTACGCGATGTGAGTGAGTTCATTTGCGACAAAATCATACTTGAGTACAAGAATATTTCAAAGCATGAGACCTTTCTCGGGCCACGTGAGTTGAGATGTCTGGACGAATTAAACAATTGAAGAAAAATTCAGTAGCGAAGCGGTAAACCGGGTTAAGTCGATTTTGACTTTTGGCCATTTTTTGGCAAATATCTCGGAATCTAAGAGAGATAGCAAAATTTTGCTCATTACCTTTTTTATAACCCTCAGTTGGCTCTACAAAAAAGGTCATGACAAAAATTTTTCTATCTCTTTTAGATTCCCAGATATTCCTAAACAACTGCCCAATAGTCCAAATCGACTTAACCCGGTTTATAGCTTCGCTACTGAATTACTTGTCTCAAGAAAATATGTTTCAGATATTGGAAATTTTTTTTCTCTGTGTATTGAACTTTCTACTAGTTTTTGGCTGATTCTGTTCAAAAGAAGTCGATTTTTCTATACAACTTATTCCATTGAAATATTTTCTATAGAATTTCCTCGGCTTAAATTTTCCAATTTTTTTGTTTGATTTTCTTGATGAGAAGAAAGAAAATTGAATGACAAAAAACTGAGAGAATGGAGAGAATAAGTTATATAGAAAAATCGAATTCTGTTGACTTTTTCTGTTGAAAATTTTCAATAGAAAGTCAATCGAATTTTCTAACGAATTCGCTAGGTTTTTCTATTAAACTTTGTCGTGGGTGACATTAGACTTTCTTCAAGATATTCAGTTCCTTCGATTTTTTTATTGAGTCTAATATTGATATAATTTCGGAAATCAAGTTTATCCTAATTTTAAATGCAGATTTTTGGCGCTGGAATGTTTGGTGTTTCGGTCTGGATGAGGGCAGATCCAGGCTTTCAAGAGTGGGTGCAATTTCTGGAGATGGAGAAGTTCTACATCGGACTTTACATTTTAATAATTGCCTCGATTGTCGTAATGGTGGTGGCGTTCTTCGGCTGTGCTGTTGCTCTCATGGAACATATTCTTGGTCTTTACATTGTGAGTCATACGTAACTATGAGAGTGACATTCATATCCGACTCTGATTAGTAAAATTCGATTCAGTTAAATTTCTTGATTAATTGGTGAATTCAGTAGCGAAGTGGCGAAACGGTTTAAGTCGACTTATCTCCCAGTTGAGTTTTTCAGGAATATTTTCGAATTTAAAGGAGATAGCGAAATTTTCGTAATTACATTTGTTGTAGCTCTCAATCGGCTCTACAAAAAAGGTTATAACAACAATTTCGCTATCTCCCTTAGATTCGGAAATATTCCTCAAAAACTCAACTGTGAGATGAGTCAGCTTAAACCGCTTTACCACTTTGCTACTGAATTATATTGAAGGGTAAAATCCCCTTTAATAAATAATAACTTTATGCTGAAAAATAGGGGCTGAATAAATCATGAAGGAGAGATTATTAATGCTAATATTATATTTTCTGCAGCACATTGGGCTTCAGGTGCTTGGTTTTTGCCTCGGGCTCGCAGGTACTGCGGTTCTCTTGGATTACTCCACTTATGACAGCCACATTCAACCGATCATTCGGAAATCCATGAGTGCGTTGATCGTTAATTCACAGTATGAGAAACCGGGAATGATTCTCAGGATGATTCAGGAGAGCGTACGTATTACCTCTCTACCTGTATTCACGGAAAAGTTGCGCAGAAAACAGCGAATTTTAATAGCAGAAGAATCTATTGGATTTATATTGAACTTCTACTGAGAATTCTGCGCATTATTTTATAGACGATGTCCAACAGAAACTGTTTTACAGAACAAATTAGTAGAATTTTATTTTTTTATACGACTTTTTCTGTCGTGATATTTTCTCTAGGAATTCATGGACATGAAGTTTCGAATTTGTTTCCACTCCATTTCTCTTAAAAATGGAAGATTGATGAAATAATTGAAAAATTGCAATTTTTGAAAATTCAAAATTTATTCACATTCAGAATTTTACCGAAAATCGATTTAATGTCTAAAAAAATGAAGTTTCCGAAGGTTTAGACAATTTCAATTATTCATTGATAAACAACGAATGTTTAAAAAAATAATAATTCTGCGCAAAATGTAATCTAAACAACGCTGAATATTCATGAATTTTTTCAATTGTTTTTTTAATGCGAAAATTTTAGCCGAGAATTTTTTTGCGGAAAATGCAATAGAAATCCAAAAGATTTTTCTTGCGAATTCGCTAGGTTTATCCGTGAAATGTTTTCGTACGTGTGAATCAACGTTTTTTATTCATTTATTCACTAGTTTTTTGTGACGGAATTTTCTTGCGCTGCAGGTTGGATGTTGCGGCTGTGACGGCCCCATGGATTACCTCAGCCTCTACAAACCACTGCCCACCGAGTGCAGGGACACGGTGACCGGAAATGCGTTTTTCCACGGATGCGTCGAGGAACTCACGTGGTTCCTCGAGGCACGATCCGGCTGGTTAGCCGGACTTGCGCTATCTCTGTGTCTACTCCACGTAAGTGTCGAATTTCGACATTTTTTTAAACTCACTCCACCACATCATCTCCGCAATTCTAGATTAATTTCAACGAAATTGGTGACTCGTTCTTCTAATTTCAGGTGATCCAAGCTGTTCTCTCGTTAGTTCTCATACAAGCCAGACAGAAGGAAGATGAGGCAGCTATTTTTAAGCGTTAGAAATATTGTAATGCATTTGATATCAACATCTAATCGTTATTTAAGCCTGAAATTATTCTGAATACATCATTTTTTTCTATGAAGCACTATTTGATTCAAAAATTCATTGGAATCCTTATTCTTCACCGCGATAGCTAAATAGCGGTTGTTTGTAGCGTTGGAAAGACGGGGAATTCCCCATTTCGAACCCCACAGAGAGATCTTAAACTTGAGAGAACATACCCAGAGAAATGACGCAGTTGAATCAAATAAAATTATTCATTTATTCTAATCTATCAGTCATTTCCCTGATAATGAGGACAAAAATAATTCATTCAATGAAATTTTTGTACGTAATTCTTCGTAATTCCAAAAATATTACACAACTAATTGTTAAATTTTCACACTGAGTGACGATACGATTAATTATTTGTTTCAATTTCAAATAAATAATTCATTCATTGTAAATCAATCAGTTCTCTGACAATGAGTACAAAAATCATTTATTCATTGAAATTTTGTACGTAATTCTTCGTAATTCCAAAAATATTGGAAAGAATTTATAAATAATAGAATAAAAATTATCATCACAACTAATTGTTAGATTTTCCCACTGAGTGACGAAACGATTAATTATTTGTTTAAATTTAAAATAAATAAATTTATTCAATAAAATTGTTTATTTTAAATAAATAATTTAAAGTAACCAATTTTATTGAACTTTATTTATTTAGTGTTTATTTTAAATCAATAAATTTATTCAATAAAATTGTTGTCCATAATTCTTCGTAATTCTTCCAATAATATTGGAAATAATTTATAAATAATCAAATAAAAATCATCATTACAATGAATTATTATATTTTCACACTGAGTGACGGTACGATTTAAAAATTTGAAAGACTCGCAGACTTCATTGGGTTCAGTTCTCATGAATTCCGAGGGTAAAAATCCAGATTTTAGGTTAACATCGGTGCGCAAATATATATATGCACTAGTGTCAGAATGAAAATGGCGAAAACCAAAACAATAAGCAAAGGATGTCCAAAGTGCGAGCAACAGGTAAATAAACTGTCATTTATATCATCTGAATCAAAATCATTGCATTGTTTCTATTGGATTAAGGTGCCCGTTGCGTGCAAGGCCTGTCCCTGTGGCCACTCTTTCTTCAATGCACGTCGTAATTCGATGAAGAGTCCACCCAGTCCTGACAGTGGAGTCATGAAAACTCGTAGAACGAACAGAATTAAACGACGAATTAATTACTACGATGCCCTGGAGTTTGATAAACAGACTCGTAAAAGTGCAAAGGTAATTTTTTTCATGCAGTCATTACCCCTTTCGTCATTATTTCTTTGTTCTAATTTTTTTCATTAATTTTTATGATTGATTGTCATTCTTTCAATATTTCCTTGGGACAATACGAGATAATTATTATACGCATAATTATTCTTTGTAATGTAAGATCTATTAAATCAGTGGTTTTTTGAAAAATTTAAATAGAAAGGCTCTCTCACATATTGATTTCTACTTTACTTCCTCTGGATTAAATATCTGAGTGTTCTATGCAACTTATTATAACTCAGAACTCAAAGAAAAACTTTAATATGTATTTTTCTAACTTTTTCAGCAGAATAAACCGAATGGTTTGAATGCTTCAACTAAACAGAAATGTAAAAGTTCGAATTACCTTTTCCATTTGAATTTTATGATGTTAACAGCTGACTGAATGTTATTTCTCTCTGTAGTCCAATTTTATATAACACTTTGTGTATAAAATATCAATCGCAAATTGGAGACTTTTTACTACTCATTTCGTTAAAAATAGAAAATACACCCAGAGAAATTTTTGCATTTCAATTGAATAGTCCTTTTTTTTAGAATTTTTCGATTCATTTCAATGAGAATGTTTCAAGTATACCAAATAAATAATTCGTTAATTCCACAGAAATTCTCTATCACAATCAAATAAACGATTTAATTAATCCCTTCTCTTGTAGTCAATCTAATCTTTATTTGGATAAAGATTTTTTAAAAATATTCTTAAAAAACTATTTATTTCATTCAAATAAACCATTTCTCTGGATCTCTATATTTCTGAGATGCATTTCTCAATTTCCCCTTTAGATTTTTCATAAAATTTTCTCCATCACGAAATTTTTTATCCATTTCGCAATTCTCCGTTCTATTCCCATTTTGTCCACAAATCTCTGAAGATCATAATTTGCAGTAAATAATCGTTCAAGCGCTTTCAAAATTCCCTCAAAATCCAATTTTAGGGGAAAAAATACTGAAAAAACTCTCCCTACAGTTCCTTATAAAAAACTAATCAGACAAATTAATTTATCCACCCCAAAAATAGATTCGCAGGGCAGCAGAAGCTGGCTCAGACCACGACTGCCGACAGTTGAACAAGAAAAGAAAGCGAAAAGGAAAGCCAAAAGGCAGACCACCTGGCAACGGTAGTGTAGGTGACGACGAGGACGATACTGAAGGTGTGAGTACTCTATCACCAGAAAAACAACTCACCTGCTCTCTGATACTCCAAGAGTTGAACAAAAAAATGGGCACTGTCGCCTGGAAGCCAACGTGATTCACCAAATTCAGGGGAAATAACTCAAAAAAATGAGTAAATTAACCCTGACATTCGTGAATTCAATAGTATCCATTTGGAAAATGTTCGTAGTCATGGGGTTAAACGTGTGCCATGTCCATTGCAAAAGGAAAAATCGTGAATAAGTGCAATGATTTATTGAATTGAATTATTTTCGATGAAAATACTGATCTCAACGTTACTGTGATTATTCAACAGTCAGTGGATATATTTTTCACTCTTTCTACTAATTTTCATCGATAAAGTTGATCTATTGATTGTGCAACTTATCGAACATATTTCAACAAATTTCATTCGTCAATTAATCTTTTTCTTCCACTCTATCGTCTTTTGTGCATGAAACTAGGAAATTAAGTGATTATTTACAATGAAAATAGTCATAATCTATGTGAATATCTTATCCGTTTATTCTCGGAATAAATCCTCGAATTATCACCATTCAAACAATTAATGAAGGGATGATGGATTAGTATTAAATAATATTCATCTCGTTTAATTTCAATGATCGATGATATAAAATAATTCTGCAAAATACTGTAGTTTATATTCTGCACCACAGCTGGATGGGGCATCGTTAAACAAAAATACTTGATCATTCATGGATAAATTCATTGGATCGATACCCTACATGGTCACTGAAGTCATTAAATTACAATATTTATGATCAAATATGCATCACCTTCGACTTGGTCCATTCATTTGAAACAATATATCCCTAATTAATTACATGTTAACATACTTTCATTCGTGCATGGACATCTCATTACATGTCGAAGAGATTACGATTATTTGTGAAACTTTTCTTCGTGGTATTTCAATCGTAAGGAAATATAGATTTACAAAAGTCAGAGTTTAATTATACAGTGGTACTTTGTGCTATAATATAAGTACTTCCCCTAACATTTTTCTCATTTTCGTTTGAAATCTTGACGCGTGCTCCTCTACATAGCATTTTTAATTAACAATTAATAAGGCAAGACATTATTTTTCCCACTTCATATCTTCATTTTTATCCCTCAAAGAGACTGAAGTGTTCTCTAATACATTTTAATGTTCTCGACATTTATCCACAGAATATACACAATTTGTTCTAGAAAGAAATTAAAAAAAAAATATATTTCTATGTAAAAATGCAACGGCTGAGAAAGGAAGAGACACTGGATTTCGTACTCAGGCTGGCTGACGGCAGTGAGGACATACGTCGTGAGCAATCTGTCATTCTTTTTCCACGCATACGAGACGATTCGATATTTATCCAGATGTGATAGGTTTACAAGTCAAATTAAATGTTTTTCCATTTTTGATTTATTGAGGGAAAAATGTCGAGTTTTTTACCTGAGAAACTCACTCAACATTTTTTTCCTCAAGTTTCGCGTTATCGAGGTAATTGAATATTCAGCAAGATGTTCGTCATTTCTTATTTATCACGTGATTTTAAAGAGTAATTCGTGGAGGAAAAGTTTAGAGGCTTCTGTTTTAGTTTAAATTTTTCAAGGAAAACATTTTCTAACATTTTCGCCGGAAATCATCGTTATCGAGATAATTAAGAATTCATCAAGACGACATATTGATCGATCTTGCTCGTAGCTGAGAAAATTCTCTAAAACAAAAGTTTTGTGATGTTTTCTCCTAAAATGACTCATTATCGAGATCATTGAATAAGAATGTGAATGACTGATTTGTCTGCAACCCACTTATCAATTTTCCGTTTCCCTTTCCAACGAATGACATCAATAGAAAATATCAGAAGACATTTACCATTTCTTCTCAATTCTCTGAACCCACAAAAAAAATTCTCCGAACAAAAGTTTTGTGATGGTTTCTCCTAATTACCCATTTACCTCCAAAACGAGTGATTTTGTAAGAAAACGTGAAAAGACACTCCCCATAAAATGACTCATTATCGAGATCATTCACTGAGAATATGAATAACTGATTTCTCTGCAACCCACTTATCAATTCTCCACTTCCCTTCTCAACGAACGACTTAAACAGAAAATATCAGAAGACCTTTACCATTTCTTTTCAGCTATCTCTCAACCCACGAAAAAGCCCCCAAAAAAATTGATCCTCCTCACTTCCCAAAGAAATCAAACCCCTCAAACTTTGCAAACTTCCCCATTACCCGCCTTCTCCAGCATCTGCTTCCGCCTGAGATAAGGCATGAAAGCCCAGAGTGAGGCCCCAGCCACCAAAATGATCCCCAGAGAGCTGAAAATCGGTGCATAATCCCTGATCTGTTCGAAGATAATTCCGCAGATGGGAGGTCCCACGAGCTGCAGCAAGCCATTAACGAAAAGTGAGATCCCATAGGAAGACGTCAGCTTCTCAGTCCCGAGCATGTCAGCCATGATAACAGCAGTGACCCCCACATAAATCCCCGACGACAGGCCAAAAACAGAGCACCAGAGGGACAGGTACCCATAGCTCTTCCCAATGGGCAGAATAGCCAGTGAGACACCAGAGACGAGCAGTCCCCCAACGAAATACCAGTGCTTGGGGATGAGTTTAGTGTCTGAGAGGGCAGACCCTCCGATTCTCCCAACAAGATCGAAGATGGAGACGAGGGAGAGGAGGTATCCAGCGGCTGCCTTGTCGAAACCAATGCTGATGGCGTAGACAGGCAGGAGAATCACGAAGTTTGTGTAGCTGACTGCATTCGTGCTGTTGGATATCAAGATGACGAGGTAGATTTGGTCCTTGAGGAGACTCACGTCGAAGAACTTGGGGGTCTCCTCCTTAGGCTTCTGCATTAATTGATTGATTGAGGTTTATCAACTGTACATTACATTATTCAAAATAAACTATGAAAGAGCCCATAATGGGACATTCAAGTATTACACTGAGAAAAAAAATTATTTTTGCCAAATATTCATCAACTTGAGAGAAGAATTTATTTTTTCAAAGTCGTACTTCCCCCCCCCCAGGTGAGCCTGATTAGGTTTCAATTATGACAATTATGTTGTTCTAGGGGATGACTATGTCGCACAGGATCTTGGATGAGCTCCTCTAATGATCATTCATTTTTCCTAATGTAACATATTGAGATCGATCAATACGTCGATTAGAATAATGTTAAGAGACATTCGGTCAACATGAATCATGGGAAAGAGGAATATTTCTCTTTCCTGCGATCCAGACATGAGTTCAGCTATGTAACCGTTAGGTTGGTGCTTAAATAAAAAAAAAGACATGAGCTCAGCAGTCAAACGGTGTCGTGAGCGATCACACAGTGCCACCTGAGTCCAGCTTCCCTTGAGGAAGCTGTTTGTTTAGGTCTGTATCAATGATGACACATGTCTGTGTCAGGGCGAATCGTGGGACTCCTTACGCTGTAATTTTGAGCTTTGAGCGTCTCTCTGAACTCCTTGGAGACCAGAGTACGATCGGGAGTGAAGCTGAACGTCCATCCCAGCTCCTCACTATTTCAATAACGCGTGTACCGAACCCCAATTCCAAACACTAGTGTATTTTAGTAAATAGTTCATTAGTCAATACATCTATAACTCATACCAGTTATGCCCAGTGTTTTGATACTTCAATAATCCTTCCTAATACCCCACTATTCTCGGAAGTGAGCGGATCCCCCGTAAGCGAAGCCGAAATAGTCGGACATAAGGGTATTAAGAATGTTCGACACCCTTTTAGCCAAAATTGACGTTGTTTTCATTTTTCTGGCAAATTATCGATGGGAGTGACGTGAAAAAATATAACGATTTTGTGGTTTGTCATTCTTTAATGGCTCACGAAGTTGCGTAGTGGTGCGATAATTTTCATGCGTTTTTTCTACAGTTTTGTGATTCTTTTTAAAAGTTTAGAGAAAACGCAGGAAAATGTTCGCACCACCTTAAAATTTCGTCAGTCATTAAATAATGACAAAACGCAAAAACGTTATATTTTTTCACGTCAATTCCATCATAAGTTTGCCAGAAAAATTAAAAAAACGTGAATTTTGGCAGAAAGGGTGTAGAACATCCTTAAGACGGCCCTTGGATACTCAGGAATATCCAGAAATAGCAACAGGAGCTATTTCACTAGAGTTAGATCGTCGAAAGGATTAATGCAGAAGACGATCTAACTCAAAACGTCACACTAAATTTTCCATTTTCTAAAGCCGCATATATATCTAAATAGATATTTGGCAAAAAGAATTTTTTCTCAGTGCAAAGCCCTCGACACGCCTGATTTATCTCACCTGGACAGTTTTCGCCGGTGATTTCCTGAAGGTATTCGATATTGCATTTAGAGTTAGGGTCGAAGCGTACTCAGGATTGAGAGCTGACAAGGTGCTGCCGTGGTAAGGTGTGCTGATGTAGTTGAAGGATGATGTGCTGGGGGATCGAGCTGCTGGTCGCCTCCTAGCTATTCCCCTCTCTGGAACAGCGTGGAGGGCCGGTGTGCTGTGCATCTGGGAGGATATCTCGCGACCTGTGGGCATACTGATCTTCCTGGTTCTACCCTGGGCCGGGGTGTTTCTGTAGTTCTCCAGGGCTACGCTGGATGCACTCTTTGGAACTATTGGATTCGATTTCTCGGTGTTGGGGATTATGAGGGTATTGTTGGCCTTCTTCTCGGGTTCCGGGGAGGTTACGTTGATGGGGACGCTTGCTTCCTCTTCGTCGTCGGGATCGGAGGTGGAGGGCACCCACTTCATGTGCTTCTCCACGGGGTCGTAGAGGAGAGCACTCGCCCACACGTTCAAGGTTATTCCTCCCATTATTAAAACTGCTCCTCTGTTAGGACAATAGGGAGTTTGCATGATTTTTTTTTCAATGTTTTCATCCCAAGGTTCGCCCTTGAATGATCAATTTTTCATTTATAAACATTAGAATTATTGCTCGTTAATGAATTTATGCGATTTTATTTTATTTTCCTTTCATTTCCGCCTTCACAATTAGATTAATTCAGTTTTATCCATTCGTATTCTTATTATATATTTTTTTTCCTAATTCACAAGTTACAACATTGAATGAAGAAGAATTATGTTGAATAATCGGGTATAATTTACCTGTATCCAAACTCATTCAACAGATAAGCCAGCAAAGGTGGTAGAAAAATGGATCCCAAGGCGCTGCCAGACATGCAGAGACCATTAGCAAGACCCCTGAGCCTCAGGAAGTACGAAGTAACGATGTAGACGGTGGGGGGAAATGATAATCCAGCTCCAATGCCCACGAAGGTTCCATAACTGTTGGCGACATTTTTCATGAATAAAGTAAAAAAAATCTAGACTAATTAGGCTGAAGGCGATGGCCAGTCGCACGCTTCTCGTGAGAAATTCCGTTAACAATAACTAATCTAGACTAAAATTGCCTCATTACCTGACACAGAGGAACAAAACAGAACTTGCGAAGTAACTGAGCATCATTCCAACAGCAGCGAAGGTTCCACCGATGAGGGTCACTGTTCTGTACGAGTACTTCACTGACAGAACACTGGACAGCGGACCTTTGAGGAAATAGACACTTCAATAAATCTCGAACGAGGTTTAATTTCAATTGAAGTGTTTTGATTGTTTTCGTCGTTTTATTCAAGGACACATCAAACATTTACAGCCTTTGCATGTAAAATAACAGGAGTATAATATTGAAAAAATTATCATTCAATAAAGAGGAAGGTTGAATCAATGAAAATCCGGTGAATGAATAAATTGAATTGGACTGAACTATAAACAAAATACAATGAAAAATGTTAAATTGATAAATTATCAATTATGAACTGCATTCAGATTTAATTTTCGTTTTGCTTTGTGTCTGTGGGTGGTTTATGTTGTTTATTTCTATTGATCATACCGAGCGAACTGTAGAGAAAGTAGCAGAGGGCTGGTATCCATGCTGCTGCTGCTGGTGATGCGTCAAAGACCTCGAGAAACTCGACAAAAAGTACTCCAAAGGACTTAATAGTTCCTGGTATGAGGACATTGACCATTACAGCTGCTATCAGGACGAGCCAGCCCCAGCCCCCGTCTGGTGGCACCAGCTCACCCTTTCCCCTCTCATCCTTAACTGAAATGAAATTGAGAAAACCTCGTGAGGAGATTCAATCAGGTCTAACGAGGGGAAGAACATCTATTCAATGAATTCCTCGCACAGAAGCTAGATAATCTGCAACAACTTTCTCTCTCTCCGAAAGGAAAAAAAACAATTCGGAGATTATCGGAGAATGTTTACCATCAAAATGAAATTGATAACCCACATTGATTGCAGAAGGTAATTGAAAGCAATCAGACGCTTGAACAATTGTTTTCACTCTTGGCAAGTACATTTTTATCGTAATCACGATTGTCCCAGATAGATGCCTACATAATTCGTAATTAAATAATGGCGTGTCGGTCGAAGCTGACACATTGCAGATCTGTTTTGAAACTTGTCGCTATTTCTTGAAGTAGATCGGGTATCATTCATGCCGAGGAGTGATAAGGGGGAGCGATAAACGCTCAGTGCCAGATAAAACACGTGGAATAGGGTAACTAGGGGGCTTTCCAAAGACCTGAATGTGATTATCTTGTACGCAATTATGCTAAACAGCAGTTAATTCATACAACCCAGTTATTTTTTATTCTATTCATCTTAATTTCGTGTTATTGATAGAGACAATCGCTTGCGGAAGAATGAAACATCTCTTTAATGCGAGAGTAATAATTTGTGCATTACAATTCCGTATAAATGTGATATTACTATCATCAAGGCCTCGGCGTATGCGTTTTATTGACTTCAGGGTCAATGCCAAGTGATAGTGGTTTGCGTAGTCGTCATTCAACCTCTCGATCTCGATGTCCCGTCTTTGTTAATCATCTTGCTCATTCCTATTTTTATTCAATTGATTAGTCCCTTCCGCAATTCTCAAGGCTTGTTAATCTTCTGAGTATTCCCGTTTAGTGAAGAGGATGATCAACGATATCCAGATGACAACAGCTGGCGAGATTCCCAATCCAAAATCATCTAATGTTTGCTTATTATTCTTGTGCGTCCGGAGAACGAACTTCTGGTAAACATTCTTGGTTTTTGTCATTCAGAACTTTGCGACCTTTAGTGATCCTTTCCGAGATCTAGCTTCTCTACTCTCAGTCGTCATTCAACTTCTCGATCTCGATGTCTCGTCTTTCTCTGTCTTCTATCTCTTCTAGTAGCTACTACACTATCATCCTGCACATTCTTATTTTCAATCAACTGATTAATCCCTTCCGCAATTCTCAAGGCTTGTTAATCTTTTGAATATTCCCGTTTACTGAGGAGGATGATCAATGATATCCAGATAACAACAGCTGGCAAGATTCCCAATCCAAAATCATCTAATGTTTGCTTATTATTCGTGAGCGTACGGAGGAAAAACTTCTGGTAGACATTCTTGGTTTTCGTCGTGCACAACTTGACGAACTTCAGTGATCCTCTCCGGCATCTAGCTTCTCTACTCCTCAGTCGTCCTTCAACCTTTCAATCTCGACGTCTCCTCTCCCTCCGTCTTCGATCTCTCCTAGTAGCCGCTCCACTATCATCTTGCTCATTCCTGTTTTCTGTAGGATTTCCAGACTCCTGATTGTTACCGTCCTGACGGTTTCTATTCCCCGTTGTCCCTTCATTCACCTCTTCAGCCACTTCCGGAATTCTTGAGGCCTGTAAATCTTCTGAGTATTCCCGTTTACTGAGGAGGATGATCAACGCTACAGCGCATCCAAATATACCAATAGCCTTAGAAGCTGTGTCCCAAAGGAATCCATTAAAGCAGAGGCAGAATTCTCTGTACAACATCCAGATGACAACACCTGCCAAGATTCCCAATCCAAGATCATCTAAGGTTTGCTTATTATTCTTGTACGTCCGGAGGATGAACTTCTTGTACACATTCTTGGTTTTCCTTGTGCACAACTTTGCGACCTTCAGTGATGCTCTTCGACATCTAGCTAGTCTAGAGATAGGAGGATTCTCTGAGTTTTTCGAGTCGTCGGAGGACGACGGCTTGTTCTTCTCACCGGGTCCACAGGACCTGCATCGTCGCTGCATTTTTGCATGTTAGGTTCTGCACTTCTCGGGGATGACGTCGTTGCGCTGCTGGTGGGTGTCTTCTGTAGAGGAATTGGGAGAACTTAATGAGTGGATGAGTGAATTGGGGAACAGATGAGTGGGTATTACTCAACCTTGATGAAGGGATGATGCTTTTATGAAGATTCTGCAATTGTACTGGGGATTCTCGTGGATTCTTGCTGCTTCGTTTGAGGGTGAGGTCTCCCGAGAAGAGTCTGGTGGGATTGAAGGGGATTTGGGGGTGAATTTTTTGGAGTTTCAGCGAGCCTTTTGGCTTTTACCTCTTCTCGTCGATGGCTTGAGAGAGTTCCTAGGTTTATCTCCGCCATTTGGGTTATTGCGGCTGCAGCACCCTCGAGACGGCTGAGAGCATTCTTCACTAGACCTGGAATTTTCAGAAATCTTGGACGCTTCAGAATCCCATGGGGACTTTTTCGCCTCCAGCAGCAGCTTACAACACTCCTCAAATTCCGGTTTCAGGGTTGAACTTAGTGGATACTTCGCATCAGGGTTTACAGAGTTTTGGTCATGTACATTGTGGGTTGATATGTATTTCGGAACATCGGGATTTGCGTTTTGATTTTGGTCGAATAAGTAGACAACCCCGAGAAATGCGATGAGAAGGAGTAGGAAGAGGGACAAGAAAACTTTCATTACCCTTGATTTATGGTTTGGTTTTGAACACTGGAAATTTTGAGTTTGGCGATCGAAATGGGGGATTATTAGAGCTGTCAGATTAATAAGTGAAGGTATTGAAGGGGAAGAACTTCAGAGCAAGCATATACAGATATTATTTTTCAGATTTTTACCATGTTTAGAAATCTGAAAAAAATAGAAAGTTTGCTTTTGGAGGAATTTAATCATCAGAATTTTACCAGAAATCTATTTCATGCACAAAAAATAAGCTTTCCTAAAGTTTAAGCAATTTCAATCATTTATTCATAAACAACAAATGTTTAAAGAAATAATAATATTGTGCATAATGTTATTTGAATGACGCTGAATATTCATAATTTTTTTCAAATTATTCTCACGCAATTCAATTGACAAATTTGATGATTGAAAATGGTTAAATCTACAGTATAGTCTGTACCAAACTGTAAAAGATATTTCCATATCCTTGAATTAACAAAAATTAATAGCCGTTCGCCCAACGGTTCATGCGACCATAGGAGAATAAATTTTCTTCAAACATAAAGTTTCATTTGGTAAATATTTTTAAATAAAGCCAAATAATTACAGTCGAATTTCTCCAATCCCTAATGAATAATCCCCGTCACTCATGGATAACAACCACCGGAAGAATATTAAAACCTAATTAACTGTCAGAACAATCCCCATTGTCTATAAATCCCCTCTTTAAACGCCCCTCAAACAATGCGATCCCACTATTTTCCAGACCCAAAGGTATCAATAAAAAAAGGCTCGGTCATCCATAAATATTCCCTCAATATCGATCACCGGAACTGTTATACCGAAGGTGAACGTCTGACCTACGAGACAGTATGGGGACGATTCATCATTGCCATGACGTCACCGTCACCAAACTACTGCCGCAGTCTTTGCTCTCTTTCTCTCCACTCGTCTTCCAATACGTCATCATTTATATTCCACATTATTGGCACTTGTAAGCCTGCACTCTGTCATTTGACAAATCCACAGGTAATGAAAACTGCTCAATGGACAGTAAATGGGATTAGAAAATTCTTATCGTGTGTTTATCACTCCTGTAAATAATGAATGAGTCTTCCTTCAAACGTTCTTTGTTTTTATGATTCATATAATCCTCAAGGTCTCGAGCATTCGCAATATTGTCTGAGAATTTCAGAGACTGCGCGGGATCAATCATCGCGAAAATCGAGAAAAACAAGAGCAACTGTTTCCTTGTTTCTTGTGAACACGTGAGGTATTTCTCCACAGCTTGAAAAATGAACAAAGAAGTTATGTTGCGTCTAATAATACGTTGGGGAAGCCACACCCAGAGAAATGTTTTTTTTTATTAAATAAAGTGTGTGTTTTATTCACTTTTATTTGCGTTTCTATTCACATCAAGGGAATAGTCTTTGAAATATAAACAAAAGTTTTCTTGGCCTCAACAAAGACTTCGTTAATTAGAAATAAAATCATTGTTTAGACAGCGAAAAAAACGAGTTTACGAACACGTCATCATTTTTTTATTTGGATGAAATGAGTTATTTGGTTCTAATAGAGAAATTATTTAATTCAAACTTCTTCATGCGCATGAATCCGTAAGTTACAAAATTACAAATGTTCAATGAAAATTTTGTTGAAGCTTATGGAATAATTCTAAAGTATTGTTTTATTTGATTAAAATGTGGTGCAGTTTGAGTTTCTTTTTCAGTAAAGCAATTCGTCACAGGGAATTGAGGAGAAACTTCTATTTGTCTTTTTATTCACATCAAATAAATATTTATTTATTTATCCATATGCATACCCTCTCGGGTCTTTGCATTTTGTTCCCTTTCCCTTAATATTAACCCCAGGTAGACATCAAATAAATAGTCTTTGAAATATAAACAAAAATTTTCTTGGCCTGAACAAAGACTTCATCATTAGTTAAAAATAAAACCATTGTTTAGACAGCGAAAAAAAATAATTTACGAACACGTAATAATTTTTTTTACTTGGATGAAAGCAGTTGTTCATCTGCTTCTGATCGAGAAATAATTTAATTCAAATTTTTTCGTGACAGAATCCATAAGTTTATGAATTTTCAACGAAAATATTGTAGAAATTTATGGAATAACTTGAAATTATAGTTTTATTTGATTAAAATGTGGTGCAGTCTGAGTTTTTTTTTCAGTACTGAAATTTCCCTTCTTTATGCCCCAGGGAATTAGAGAAGAACGAAGGAGAAGCGAGACTAAAGGGGAGGTCTGCGGGAGACAGCGATATTTCTATGAGCCAGAGAAAATTTCCGCTGTTGCAGCTCCCCTGGGGTCTTTTTCCAAGAATTCTCGAGA